TTCCGAGAGGCACCCCAAGAGAGGTCCAAGAAACAAAAATCGTGCCATTCCTATGGGAAACGTATATTTTTCGCATGTTCGCATCTTGGGCTTTCACCGCGTCCAAGACGGCCCAAGAGGCCTCCAAGACGGCCTAGGAGGCCTCCGGGAGCGCTCCAAGGCTGCGCACGAGTGGCTCAGGACGGCCCCAAGACGGCCCAAGAGAACCCCAAGACGACTTCGAGAGGGGTCCCAGAAGGAGAAAGCCACTCTCGAATTCCGAGCTTCCGGCCCAACATATCCCAGGAGGCGCCAAAACGCCGCCCAGAGGCGCCAAAAGGCTTCCAAAATCAGCCCAAGACGTTCCGAGAGGCACCCCAAGAGAGGTCCAAGAAACAAAAATCGTGCCATTCCTATGGGAAAACGTATATGTTTCGCATGTTCGCATCTTGGGCTTTCACCGCGTCCAAGACGGCCCAAGAGGCCTCCAAGACCGCCCCAAGACGGCCCAAGAAGCTTCCAAGAGGGCCCCAGGACAGCCCAAGAGGGCCCCAAGACGGCCCAAGAGGCGCCCAAGATGGCCCAAGAGGGCCCCAAGACGGGCCCAAGAGGGGGCCCAGAGGGGGACCACGAACCGCAAGCTCGAGCCTTCCGCCCCAAGAGGCCGCCAGGAGGCCCCAAGGAGGCCCCTCAAGAGGCCCCAGGAGACCCCCAAGAGGCTCAAAGGAGGCCCCGAGAAGCCCCAAATCGGCTGCTTCCAGGAGGCCCCCGACAGGTTCAGAGGCCCCCTAGAAGCTACGTCAAACTCCCAGCGAGCGGCCGGACGAGGCCCCCCACAAAATCACAAGAGGGTTCCAGTATTTGTATCCTTCAGCGCTCTCTGGCCTTCTTCCCCCTGCCCCCTTCCCTGCGAATTTCGTTGACTCAAGCTCGCCTCCTAGCTAGAACCTAAGCGCGCGCGAAGCGCGCGCGTGGTTCTAGTTGCCTTTGTTTGTCCACCGATCGGGATGCGCGACCCATGTTGGGATGTAGAGGACCCAGCAGGCTTTATCGCGGTGTCCTGGATCGGTCCTTGGGGCGCTCGTTGGCGCGTTGCATTGTAAGCAAAGGTGAGCAGAGGCTCACCCTTTTCTTTTGCGCCACGCGCGGAGCGTGCTCCTCCGCGCGCTGCAACATGCTCGGCAAAGAGTGCCTTCAGCGCCGACTGGCGGGTGGCGCCACCGTCCTGAGGAGGATCTTTTCTGGCCTCTATTCTCACTAATTATCGTGGCAATGGCACGGTGAGTGAATACTCGAGGCGAGGCGCGGCTTTCTTCTGCTACGAGTCTCAGCGGCCTCCGCCGCCAGATGTCAGCCTGCCGCTCTCGCAGTCTGGGCTGATAGAGACGGCAGGTACGGCGGCGCTTTTGGCGCGCATTCAGGCCCGTGAAGCGTCGGCGGTGGCAAGGCCTGCTGCTGCGCCCTTGGGCGACGCAACGTGACCAGGTTTTGTTTGATGGCGTGGTGGGCTAGATCTGGGCCCCCTCGGGACCGTCCGTTTCCTCCCGCCCGCTGTCCCTCATCCGCTGTGCTGTGCGTCTGACGTGCTCAGCGGCTGAGCTGGTCTCTCGGCCATCGTGGCCGATGTGCTGTTTCAAAATAGTTCAGGCCCCCAGGGGATCGCTGACAAAAAACCCATCCTCCATCGCCGTCATCATCATCGCCCGTTTCAGCGCGCCCCTCACACGCGTCGCGGCCCCATAGGGAGCCCCGCCGAAGGCCCGAGTGCTACCGTCCACATGCTCCCCGCACACCCAGTGCAGCGCTTCGTGGCCCGATAGGGGGTCCCGCCGAAGGTCCCAGTGGTACCGCCCGCATGCGACCCGCACACCCAATTTCTAGCATTCTCACAAGCCCAGTGCAGCGCTTCGTGGCCCCATAGGCAGCTCCGCCGACGGCCCCAGTGCCACCGTCCGCATGCACCCCTAAAACCCATTTTGGCATTTTCACCCACCCAGTACAGCGCTTGTTTGCCCCATCGAAAGCTCCACCGACGCCCCCAGTGGGACCGTCCGCACGCGTCCCAAAAACCGAATTTAGCATTTTCACTGACCCAGCACAGCGCTTCGTGGTCCCATAAGGAGTTCCACCGAAGCCCCCAGTGCGACCTTCCGCGTGCGCCCCGGAAATCTAATTTGGCATTTTCCCTCACCCAACACAGCGCATCGTGGCCCCATCGGGAACTCCACCGAAGGCCCTAGTGGGGCCGCCCGCGTGCGCCCCCCCCCCCCCCCCCCCCCCAAACAAACACACACACACACACACACACACACACACACACAACACACACACACACACACACACACACACACACACACACACACACACACACACACCACACACACACACACACACCACATATATATATATATATATATAACTCGGCATGTCCACCCGCCCGGTACAGCGCTTCGTGGCCCCATAGAGAGTTTCACCGAAGCCCCCAGTGGGACCGCCCGCATGCGTCCCACACGCTCAATTTGGCATCTTCGCCCACGCATTACAGCGCTTCGTGGCCCCATAGGGAGCTCCGGGAGCCCCCAGTGGGGCCGCCCGCATGCGTCCCACACACCCAATTTGGCATGTTCACCCACCAAGTACAGCGTTTCGTGGCCCCGTAGGGAGATTCACCGACGGCCCCAGCGGCACCGCCCGCGCGCGCTCCCCCCCACCCAGCGCGGCGCTTCGTGGCCCCATAAGAAACTCCACCGAAGAAGATATTCACAATTGCAGCACCCACAACTGCATATGGCTGGGTCCTTCGCCAGGATAATGTTTTAGAGTGCCAGGGCGCTCTAATGATGATTCTCTGGCGCGCCCGATCGGCTGCGCGCCTCGAGTCTGTCTTTCTGCATCTCCTCGACTCCACGGTCAAGGTCGGTGCTCTTTCCAAGCGCCGTTCCAGTAGCAGGCAGCTCAACAAGGTGGTGCGCAGTTTCTATGCCTGGGAGCTGGCCATGGGTGCGCGGGCTGTCTTCGGTTTCGCGAGCTCGTCCCGCAACCCGGCCGATACCCCTTCACGCTTGAAAGATGGTTGCGCGCGCGGGGCCCTCAGATCGCTGCGCCACCAGAGCTGGCCTAAGAAGTTTGAGCAATGCTAAACTTGGCGCTGAGACTTTGGCACAATATCTTACGGCAGCTCGCCAGTTTGCTGACTACGCCGCCGCCGCCCACATGCCTTGGCCTGTCGATTGGGATGAGATGGACCTGACCCTTCAAGAGCATCTTTAATTTCTCCAGGCGCAAGGCGCCACAAAGGGCCGGGCCAATGGCGCTCAGCGGCATTCGGCACCTTCTCAAGACGAGGAGGCGCATGCCCGGAGCCTGGCGCCTACTAAGTGTCAGGGGGCGCCTCGAAGTCCCAAGCCGAGCGCCGCCCATGCCGCCACTCGTGCGTGCTGCGCTCGCAGGCTGAACCCTTGCTGCCGGAGAGCTGGCCTTCGCGCCAGTCGTGATAGCCGCCTTCCACTTGTGCCTGCGCACTGGAGATCAAGGGAGGAAAAACTACCCGGACCGGACAATTGGCGTTTACTAGACGGCCTTGGGCGTTTACTGAACAGCCCTGCCCTGTTCGATTCCTTTGGGCGCGTTTACTGAAGGCATCGCGTGTCGGGGTGATTATGATCGGGATGGATTTTCTGCTCTCTAGGAGAGGCCCTCAACCTTTGTGGGGCTCTCGTCTCCTCGCGCCCGGACGGAGGGCGGCGTCGTCGGCCGCCCCTGGACAGAGACTTCGCGTCAAGATGTCCCTCTAGATGGCCCTTCCGTAGGAGCCGCTGTCCATTGGCAGCTCAGTCAAGTTAACTCTGCTCAGCGGTGGCCCCTGCCCACTCGTGTGTTTCATCGGCTGTTCCGCAGAGCTCTGAGCGAGATCGGTAGCAGTTTCCTTCGGCTCCCGCCTTATAGTTTACGGCGAGGCGGGGCCACTCATGAATTCTTGCCCCCCTGTGACCTCTCTAAAGTTATGGCGAGAGGCCGATGGTCATCCCACCGCACAGCGAATCGATATATATATATATATATACATATATATATATATATATATATATATATATATATATCCAGGATGGAGCAGCAGTTTTGGCCGAGATGAATGTTTCATCTCGCTTACGTCAAGATCTCCAGTACTGGGGCACCACCTTCGCTGTGCCGGGATCAGAGCGCACTGGCGCCAATGTTGAGAACAATTCGGGGAGGTTGTCCTCATTTCTTTTTCTCCGTCCCTTCCCCATCCATTCTTGCGGCTCTTAGCCAGATGCGTGCGAAGCTCGTGGCATGGTGTCTCTGACTTGGGTGGAGCTAGTCCGTAGCCCCCTGGGTTGCACCCCTATCGGCCCTTGGCCGCCTCTCCCGCGGCCACCTCGGCCGCCTGCTCGCCGCGACCCCTGGCCTGGGAGGCGGCAGGGCGCCCTCTAGATAGGAGTCGGCGTCAGCTGGGAGCAGGCGGGCCGGAGGTTCCTGCCTGCTGGGCCTGACGAGCCACGGCCACGGGGCCGATGGGGGGTGTCCCGGGCTTGCGGGGCTCAGACTAGCCTTGCAAAGACTATGGCCGACAGAAGAAACACAAAGGGAGAAAGAGAGAGAGAGAGAGAGAACAAAAGAAAACATCGGGCTCTGCCCGGTCTCCCTCCTGATCGGCTTCCGCCCCCCCCGTTTGCCCCCAGCTATATAGACCCATGGCTCACTCCCTCTCTGTTTCTCCTCACGTATTTGTTGTTTGATTATTTTCTCTGTCTCTCTCTCTCTCTCTCTCCCTCTCCTTCCATGTCTCCTTCTCTACCCCCCTTTGTTTCTCCCCCTCTTCATATATATATATATATACACACATACACAGTTTAAACTCTATATATATGTGTGTGTGTGTGCGTGTATCTCCCCATTCCCCTCCCCTCCCCTCTCGTTTCTCTCACCTTCCCTTTTCTGCCTCCCCGTCCTCTTCCCGCCGCCCGCCCTCCCCCTTTGTCCTTCCTTTCCCAGGGGGCACTCGTGACCATCCTCATCGGGCCCATCGTCGGCTTCGGGCTTATCCCCGTGATCTTCGGCAGGGACGTGTCGAAGAAGTAGAGCTGACTGGGGCTCTGGGGGCGGCCTCGGCGCCCCGGCCTCTCGCAGGCTTCCCCCCTCCCCTTCATCCTCCTCCTCCATCGTCTCCTGCTCCTTTCTCTTCTTTCCCTCTCCGCCTGCTCCTCCTCCCCCTCCTCCCCCTCCGCCTCCGCCTCCTCCTCCTCCTCCTCCTCCTCCTCCTCCTCCTCCTCTTGTTTTGTTGTGCGTGCGTGTGTGTGTGTGTGTGTGCATGTGTATGCGTGTTTGTGTGCGTGTCGGTGTTTGTGTGCGTGTGTGTGTGGGTAGGTGTATGGGTGCGTGCATGCGTACGTGCGTGCGTGCTTGCGGTAGCGTGTGTGTGTGTGTGTGTGTGTGCGTGTGCGTGTGTGTGTGTGTGTGTGTGTGTGTGTGTTATCTCTCTTTATCTCTCTACTTCTCTCTCCTCCTCCTCCTCTTTCTTCTCTCTCTCAATGTCCTCCTATCTCCTCCTCTTCTTCCTCGTCCTTCCTCGTCCCGTTCCTTCGCCCTCCTCGGCTCCTCCTCTCGCCCTCCCTCTCCTTCGCACCCCCCCCCCCCGCATGCCCGACCCCTCCTCCCTGCTCATTCCCTGTGCTCCCCCCCCCCTCTGGGCGGCATGTTCGACCTGACCGTGCGCCCTCCTATGCGCGTGCCCTGCGCAACATTTAGTGCCTTCTTTGATTTTTCATTCCGGCATGGCGGCTGAAAACCGCGTCGTGTTATCTCGAGATGGTTGGTCGTCTCCTCCCTGTACGGTTGGCGTTGCAAAGATGGCGTGCGACGTGGCGCCGCCGGTTCGCTCATTGAACGCTGTCCCCCATCTTGGGGATCGCGTGCACCGAGGAGGCCCTGGCAGGGGGACAGCACGCCCGGAAGAAGCCCTCGCAGGGGGATCGCCTCTTAGGGGTAGCGTACACGGGGGAAGCTTTTATACTTGGGGATCGCGTGTTCTGCGGAGATCGGTGTTGTTCGCGATCGTTGCGACGCGAGCCGTCCAGTCAACACGCTAGAATACGGCACAGTTCGGGTTCGGAAGGGGCTCGCTGTTCCTTGACCAAGTCCTTCAATGGTCGTTCCTCCAGCGCTCCTCGGGCACCCAGGTGCCTTTTGAGGTCAACAAAGAGCTTCAGTCCTCGCCCAGCGAAACATGCGTTGTGTCGTAATAGTAGCTTACTTGCATCTTCAGTCTTCAGCCTCCCCCCCCTCCTCGTCCTCCACATTCTCCCGCTCCCCCTCAGTCTTTCCCTCCTCCCCATCGGCGTCGTCGTCGTCACCATCTTGTGCGCGAGTGCGGGGATGACGCCCTGGCCGCGATGTGCGTCTGGACCATCGGGCCGCCTTCTCTCGTTTCGGTCATTCGACGCGCGCGGCTTTCGATCCGAGCTCGGCCCCGATCATCAACCCCAAATCTTATTAGCATCATTGTCGTCATCATCATCTCCACCATAAGCATCATCGTCCTCAAGGCTAGTGCCGCCTGCGCACGGGCTCTCTGACGCACTTTGCCAGCATATGCTCCGCCCGTGCACCCTCGGCCGTCAACAGTGAGATTGTGCCAACAGTGCTCTTGGCCGCCCTTACCCAACGGCTGCGGATCAGCTGGGCTGCGTGGGTCGACTGTGCCATCATATTCTGCGTTGGCGTGGTCTGAGCATGTTTCGTATGCGTTGCCTGTGACAGTTAGCCAATTGGCGTCCCAACTTGACCCCTCCCTTACCTCACCAAGCGATGGAGTGCTTCACGAATGCATTGTCCCACTCCACGAGCTTCTGCATCAGCCGGCCAACCTCACCCCCATCTCCCGGCGCGCTTCCCCCCGCGCGCGCGAACGTGGGAGCGCGCGCCCGACGGGGAAGGATGAGGAGGAGGAGGAGGGGAGGGCAGGAGGGAGGAGGAGGGTCAGGGGGGGAGGGAGCGGGAGGGGGAGGGAGGGGGGGAGGGAACATGAGATGGAGAGGGAGAGTGAGAGAGTCAGAGAGAGAGAGGGACAGAGAGAGAGAGAGAGAGGGAGAGAGAGAGTGAGAGAGAGGGAGAGAGTGCGAGAGAGTGCACCAGTTCGAACGTGGTGTTCATCCGCGGGCGAGGAGTACAAGCGCCTCCTGCCCGGACCTCTTTGGCGGGATGGGCCGCATGTCAACCGCGGGGATGGCGAAAAAGTACCTCCCCAAATTGCGCCGTCGAATCGACCCCGACTGGAGAAGCGAACAGATGTGGCACACCCTGTTCGCACACCGAACAAGAAAGAGGCTCCGGCATTGTAGCGCGCTTTGGCCTGCATGCCTCGGAGCCTTGGGGAGAGTAGGCGCCGCGTTCGGGTATCCCCCCTGGCGGCCCGGTGCCAGGGCTGCGGAACAAGTTGCCAGGTGTTTTCGCAGCGCACGGGAAGAACACGGGAAGTCAAGGTGGAGAGGCGAGCGCTGGTGCGCAAGCGGTGAGCAACAATTCGCGCCTGGAGGTTTTCCTGGAGACTAGCCGCAGGGAAGCAGGCGTGCGGAAGGACGGTTGGAGTCCGTTCCATGCGGACTCTGCGCCATGCAGTCTGTACTCGAGCGGTGCGTTGTCGCTTCGTGTAGGTTGGTACAGTGGTCCGTAGCTGCGATGCTGAATCTCCCCCATGACGTGATCGATACATTCCTCCATACAGGTCTGGATGCCTGTGTCCGCTGGCCCCCACGGGCTCCATACAGCGGCCGTATTCTGGAGGCGTTGGAGGAGTTCGTGTCTTTGCCGGTGTGCTTCCCTCTGCCTGAGGCAGTCACGGTGGTTAACTTCGTGTTTGGTGAGGACCCGAGTGGGGTTATAGGGGATCCCGTGGTCGCTATTGGGGTCTTGGATGGGGTCGTCATGGAACTGGTGGTCCGCGCCGCGTTGTTCATTCGATGTGGCCTGGCAGGATGGATTGGTGTCGAGCTGCCCTTGTGCTGCAGCGTTGTGAGTCCTTTCGATTGGCGAACCAGGCGCCCGTATGGTGGGCCCAGGTCAGCCGGCGACCTGCACAGCTTCTCGAAGGGCGTCGAGGATTCGTATGTTTCGTCGTTCTGCTGGTTCGTTGGTGTCAGCGTGTGTCTGGGCATGCCGACACCCAGCCAAGTCGTTGTTGTTGGCGTTAGCCAGCAGTTGCTGTGGTAGCTGGTGGTGTCCATCCCTTTCGCCTGTGCGCATGCGGTGCTCTTGCTTAGCGTCGACCGGAGGTTCGATGGGATCCTGGTTCCCCACCGCGGCCACGTGCTGTGATCGCTGCCTGCAGCGACCCTGGTGGGCCCTCGCTCGCCTTGGTGGCCGTAGGTTCCGAAGCGGTCCACGACGTTGAAGTAGCCGCAGCGTTAGATGGCTGCGCGCCGCCTGCAGTGGCAGAAGGAAAACCCGTGTCGGTGTCCGTGATCCTCCGTAGACGCATTCGGTCACAATCCGGTCAGGCTCTGGGGATGCTGCTGCCCCTTGGCCACTTAGGATGAGGCTCCACATGAGAGTCTCGGTGTGAGCCGCCACTTTCATGGGCCCAAGGTTCACGACGGCGGCGGCGTGAAGGGCGCAGCCGCGTGCGCTTGCTGGGGGGCAAGAGCGCCTTTGAGCCATGCTGCGGAGGGTCTCTTTCGCCCTTGCTGAACCTATACCAGCCTGGTCAAGCTAGGTTGGTCAGTAAACATTTGGCGACACGGGAAAAGGCGCAACAGCAAGCACATCGCAGAACCCGTGACATGGCAAACCCGTTTCTTCTGCCTTTGCAGAAGTATGCACATGCAACGCACAATTCTTTCGGATATTGTTACCTAGGTAGGGGTGAAGAAGTCCCATCGAGGCCCCTTCAGCATGGGCTTGTTAGCGGTTCGGGGCGCGCGCGGTGTGGACACGTGGCCCTGATGTCATAGTCATGTTCTCTCCCCCGTTGAGCTGCTCCTGTTGCCCCTGCGTGCTCCCCGTGGTGGCGCCAGCACTCCCTTCGGCTGGTTCGGCGCGGGGGTGGTGGTGGTGGGGCTGCGCGGTGCCAATCGGGCCTGTGCCAGCTTGACGAGTGGCGCCATCTGGGCCATGAAAGTTCTTCAGTCCTTGTTGAGGCTGGTTTGCTCGCTTTCCGCTGTTGCGAAGCCTTGCTCGAGCTCGTGGCAGTGTTGGACCAGTGTGGCTTGGCTCGTAGCCGCGCTGGTGAGCGTGTTTTCGAATCGCTGCGCTGTGTCGGTTAGTCGCTGCTGGTCTGCTTCCAGGCTGCGGAGTCGGGCATCGTCCGGATCCGAGATGCCTTTGACGCTTGGGGTTTTGACAGTCATTCTTCGTCTAAGTCCTCTTCGTAGCCGAGTGGCTCACGGCCACCCCTGGGGAAGCCAAGAGGGGAAACGGTGCCTTCGAGCTTGGTGCCATCATCGGACACGACGAGGCCATCCGCTCCTTGTTGCCTTGGTGGGACCCTGGCGGGTGCAGGGCCGCCCTCTCTCGCGTGAGGGTTCTCCGCAGTGCCCAGCAACGCTGACAGAGCGCTGGCGTGCTCCGTTCACGCTGGCACCCCGTTGCTTCTCATCCGGTGGTGGCGCTGCTGCGGCCGACGCCCCCGTTTGCTGATTGGACGGTGGTGCCAGCAGCGCTTGGAGGCGCGGCCTTGTGGCAGCCCTGTCTTGCAGGGCCGGCGCAGCGCCGGCGCTTGGGCGGCCTGGTGGCGACCCCTGCGTGGGCATGTCTGCCGCGATGGCCCCTGGTGAGACAGGCTCTGCCATCGGTGACTCTGGCGGTTCCGCCTTGGCGGCAGCATCCACCTACGCAATGATCCATGGGATGATTGGGCCTTGGGCGCCTTTGGTGGTGTTAGGTGGAGCCGCTGCCGCGTTGACAATGGCAAAATCACCCCCAGTCGCCTTGTCTCACCTCGCGCGTTGGACTTCGCAGTGCCATTTGAGCGAGGTGAGGGCTTTGGCAGTTTGCGTCTTGGTGACACTCTGGGGCGCGATGCCTGCGATTCGATACTTGGCGTCAGCGAGTACCGCGTCGGTTCCTCGGGGTTCGACAGCCACCGGTTTGGCTTCTTCCGCGTTCGGTTTTGAGCCTTTGAGACGTTTGGTACCCTTCATGAAGTGTGGTCTGGAGACCATCCTGGTGCCGCACGGTGACGTATTCTCTTGGTGCAGGTCTTTTCGTGCTATCATAGTTTTTGCCAAATTGGATATATCCTTGCCCGAAAGCAGAGAGGACTGTCGGAACCCCGGCTGGCCTGCTGCCGAATGAGCGGTGAGTCTCAGCTTGCTTGACACCCTGCCGTGGCGTCTTAGCAGCGCCATGGGTTCTTGGACGGGGACCGTGCGGAACTGGGAAGTGAAGGCGGCTGTGAAAGTGTCTGTGAGGTCGTCGTCGAGCTGTTTGCGTGAGTGGTCACGCTTGGCTGCCTGGTGACGCTCTGTGGCCCTAGACTTGGCCGTGCCTGTCCCTACTGGCTGCCGCGTGCCGTTGATCGGCACTCTTCCTCATAATTGTGATGTCAAGAGCTTCTGGAGAGACGGTGCTGCGGCGATGGCATCCGTTTCGCATATGGATCCGCGAGCCAATGCAGTATTGTGTGCGGGGTCCAGATACACTTGGACCACGTTCTGCCAGCATTTGACCTCAGTGCGTCCTAGTTGGTACACAGTTCCTTGGATTTGGCCTGGCGTGGGCTTGGTAGCCGTAGCCGTCCTACGGAGCACAGGGATTCGGATCTCTTGTCCTGGGTAGTCGGTGGTGACGGGTCCCAGGACGGCCAGGGCGAGGAGCTCATCCTGCAGGCGAATCTGCTGCAGGTGTCCGTATCATTGGAGCACGACGTGCCGTCCTCGGTCCTTGCGGGCACCAGGGTGATCAGTGATGTAAATCATCAGGAGGGGACAAAAACACACTGACACAATGAATCGTCGATCCCCCAGAAAATTTTGAAAAATATGGGAATTGGGCGGGAAGATAAAAACCCAGAAAATACTGGAAAATACGGGGAATGCTTTTATTTGTGTGTATCTATGCGTGTGTCCTAGGGCCCCTTGAAATCAAGGTTGATGAGTGGGGCGGTGTTGATACCCCGGTGGCTATCGGCCGAGGTCGTGGACCCTGGTGGGTCACGTCTGGAGCCTGCTTTGTGCATCGGGGTGCACTGCGGCATGGTGTAGCTGATCTCAGATTTCACACGCACCTGGCCACGCGCAGAAGGGGGTAGGGGGAGGGGGGAAGGCTTCTTAGAAGCACCCCTGCTTCTTAGAAGGCGCGGGCCTTCTTTGTAGATGTAAGGCCGGCGCCTTCTAAGAAGCAGCTTCCTTCTAAGAAGCCTTCCCCCCTCCCCCTTACCCCCTTGTGCGCGCCGCCAACGCACAGTTTCAGCAGCTTGTCCGTCATCTGTCAGGTTTGTGACGATGTCAAGGTTGGTTTGATGTCTGTGGGCGAGCTCTTCCCTGGAGTGCGGCGGCGCAGGCAGGCTTCCTTGCGGGACAGGTTGCTGCCATGGCGGTCATGCAAGATTGCGTTTCGGCGGCTATTGCCTTGTGGTTCGGAGCCATGGCGCGTGCGCGGGTACTGAAAGGAGGAGGTGGCACGAGTCAATCACAAGCCGGGATGTCGCGTGTCCAGTCTCGCGATGCGGTCAACGGTAACATTTGGCATTCAGCGTCGTGGCTACGCGTTGGATCAGGGACCCTCGAGCCGACTTTAGAGTGCGAGGGGGAGAGAGAGAGAGAGAGAGAGAGATAACAAAACAACAAAAACAACAGCCAACAATTTAGAGTGAGACGAAGACGGAGAGAGGAAAGGGAAAGGGAGGCAGAGAAGTTGCAGAGAGAGAGAGAGAGAATCAAAAAAAAGAGGGAGGGAGGGGTGGAGGGAGGAGGAGGAGGAGGAGGAGGAGGAGGAGGGGGCCTCGCCTCCGCAGGCCAACGTGCAGGAGAAGCTGCGAGCCCGCGCGCGGGCAAACCACTCGGCCCACCTGAACGACGTGAGGGGGGAGGGGCGCGGACGGGGCAACCCAATGTTTGGCGGCGCGCGCACGCAAGGGGGCGGCTCGAGGGGGTCGGCGTTCGAGGCAGCGGGGCCCTTCTCAGAAGGGCTCGGAAGTCTGTGAAAAGGCCTCCTGGGAGCCTCGGGGCTCGTCGAATGATGCCCAGGGGGATACCCAGGGGGGGCGATGCTTTCTTCGAATTTCCTTCTTCGAAGGCTTTTCGGAAGGCTTCTGCGAGGGTTCGAAGGCCCATGCCTTCTTCGGGGCCCCTGCTTTCTTCGAAGATTTTTTCGAAGGCCCTCCTTCGCAGGGCCCAAACGCCCGCACCTTCTTAGAAGCCCCCCCCCCCGCATCGCGCCGCCCGCCTGCGCGCGCCGCCAAACTGCAGACGAGGAGGAGGAGGAGGAGGAGGAGGAGGAGGAGGAGGAGGAGAGGAGGAGGAGGAGGAGAGGGATGGGGGCGGGGGGGAGGCTCGACGGTTGATGGTCGAGTCTCTTGGGCGTTGTTCTCCACAGCGGCGCAGGACAAGCAGGTGGCTCTGGATTCGGGAAGGTTTGTCCTTTCGGCCTCCGGGGGCCGCCGCTCTCGGGTCCCAGGAGCGTCATAAACGGATTCGAGGCCAACATCTGCGCCATATGGCCCGGGAGGGGTCCAGGACGGACTTTTGTTTTAAGAGAGAGATATATATATATATATATATATATATACAGAGACAGAGAGAGAATGAGAGAGCGGGAGGGAATGGGGGCGGAGAAGGATGAGAGGGAGAAGGAGGGCGAGGGATGGAGAATGAGGAAGAAGGAGAGGAGGAGGAGGAGGAGGAGGAGGAGGAGGAGGAGGAGGAGGAGGAGGCGGGGGAGGAGCGACCGCCAGGGGCGAGAATATCCCTGACACAGCCACCACTTCGTCCACCAGGACCGTCATGACAACCACCACGATCATCATAACCACAGTGACCACCGCGACCACCACCGCAGCGACAGCCACCACGACGCCCACCGCCTACGACCTGTACCGCCACGACGTCCACGGCGATCCGACGACCGCCCTCCGCCCCCCGCCTCTTGTCTTGCCGCCGCCTCTTTCCCCCCTGCCTGGCCGCCCTTGCATGCTGGTCCAGGTCTGTTCTGGTTGGAATCGTAAGTTGCATGAATTTATCCGAGCATCGTTTAGTTAATTATGTTGCGCTTCTCGTGGTTATGGACCCTGGACCATAACCCCAACGCCCAAGGGTCCCCCTTGGTGACGGGTGTGGGAGCCCACTCGGGAGCCCGCGAGCCTTTTTGAAAGGAGGAGGAGGAGGAGGAGGAGGAGGAGGAGGAGGAGGAGGAGGAGGAGGAGGGGGAGGAAGAGGAGGAGGAGGAGGAGTTCGACGATTGAGGATTGTTTGCGCGCGCCGCCAGACTGCAGAGGAGGAGGAGAAGAGGAGGAGGAGGAGGAGGAAGCTCGACAGTTTAGGGTCGAGTCTCTTGTGCGTTGTTCCCACAGCAGCACAGGAGGAGGAGGAGTTGGCTCGTCGAAGTGCCAGCACTGCTGGTCTTTTTGCTTCTTTCTTGAGGAGTTGCGCGCCACTGCCAGATCTTCGGCTCGTGGGCGCTCCGCTGCTGGCCGCTTTCGGATCTTCGGCTCGCTGAGCGCCCCGTTGCCGCTACATTGCTGTATCGATGCGCGCTGGCTCGCACCGCACAACTGAGGCTGGCTAATTCGATGTTTGGAGCCCACGCTGGGGTCATTACCCCTTCTCGGCCTTCGAAGAGGACGAGAACGACGGCGATGGTGGCGACGACGATGACGTTTCTCCTGCGTCCTCCTCCTCCTTCTCCTCTTCCCTGCTGCTCCTGTGCGCGCGCACGGAGGAATAGGAGAAGGAGGAGAGGGGAGTCAACGGGCGAATCCTGCTCATCAAATCTACCTGCGGTGGTTCGGGAAGCGCATGGGCACGAGCCAGCTTGGGAAAGGCAGGGGCACGGAACAGCAGCCGCACATCGTTGAGGTGGTCACGAATCCGTCGCGACGGGCTTTTGTTTTTCTGATCAAAAGCATATCGAGGGAGCTTGCAAGCGACTTGGAGGCAAGGTACAGTAAGGTGATACGACATACGAAATAGCATCCTCAGGCAGGCGAATCTCTGGCTCCTGCGACAAGGCAAGGCCCGCCACCGTGCCAGCGCAGCACTCTGTGGGGCGGTTCTTCGAGGTCCGTCCAGAAGGCTGACCGTTCTCGTCCTTGGGCTCCAGATGGCCGTATCGTGCAGCACGCTCTTTCGCAGGCTCGAGACGTCCGGGACATGGTACAGTTGTCCTCAGGTCTCCGAGGCATTCGAATTCCCCACGATGCAAAAGGCCTTGGTTTGTAACTCCGGATCCTGCTAACTTGCACCAAGGGATTCCCCATAGCTCAGAGGGCCGTCTCATTTTGGGTTCGGGGGCCTCCCAGCAGCTTGCCAATGAGCATCCATCACAACAAGAACGTGCCCTAATCATGAATGACTTAATGCAGCTCGGAATGACACGCAGTGTTGGTCGGACCCTACCTAGACCATTTTGGAAACTAGCGAGGAGAAGCATGCGACATCACTAGCACTTCAACTTCAACTTCTGGTCTGTGTCCACATAAGATGATACGTTCCCTCGCAAAGGAACGATTCCGATGAGGAAGCGCCGATGTTGCGCAGGACTAGGTGTTCATGTTGTCTGCCCTACTCTGTTCTCGAGCAATCGTGGCAACTTGTGTGCTTGCTTCCGCAGCTCATCCCGCCCAATCGCGCCCTGCACACCGCTGAATCGGTGTAGGAGAAAGAGTTGGAATAGAAATCGGAATCGCCACCCTGCCAGGCAGAAGCTCGCCCCGCTGAGGAGGAGGTCTCCCCACACGCCTCCTCCCCCATCGCTGAGGACAATGAAGAGGAAGGACGAGGCCTCCCCCCGGCCCCCTCTCCACCCCCCGCAGCGGGGGACCAGGTCGTCAGGCTCGAGTCGTGCGCCACATCTCCAGACGGCAAGGCTGCTGGCACGGGTCAGGCCCTCGTGCACCTGGAGGGTCAGGGAGGACGAAGGTGGAGCAGGAGGAGCAGAGGAAGCCCAAGATGCATCCACGGTGCTGACACCCTTCCGTATCGAGCTCCTTCCTCATACGTCCCTACCCCACTGGCCTTGCATCTCGCAACAACTCACAGCGAGAAGCGCCCCCATGAGAGACCAGCACATAATGGGACTCCTACTGCGCAGAGCGAGATTCCCGTTTTGAATGTATGGTGCATTGCAGGTTCAAGCGAATATGAATGAATCTGGAATGTAGGAACATACATTTCAGCGAGGCGTCCACCGATCTCCGTTTTGAATCACCCCCAGCTTTGCAAGTGTTGCAGAAGTTCACACGTCTGGTCATGAACTTCGAGGAAATCAAGCGAGAGCTCCAGTTTGAAAAGGAACCGCGGTTCATTGTGGTGGTGTTCTTCATCTATTGATTTTGGGCACATCCCGCCATCGTTCCTGGGTTGCGACTCAGTTGCCTCTTGGAAGTTTGTTGGCGTCTCTTGCGAAGCTTCTGGGGAGCCTCTTTCGGAGGCAGTTCTGAGGCCGTTGGGGGGCAGGTTGAGGGCCTCTTGGGGCTTCTTCTGGGTTTCTTGGGGCCTCTGGGGGGCTTCTCGGGGCCTGCTGGCGGTCTCGGAGACCCCCGTGGGGCGGAGGGCTCGAAATCTCGGTTTGAGTTCCCTTATTGGGCCCCTCTTGGGGCTCTCGTTGGGCCCTCTTTGCCCGCCTTGAGCACCGTGGGCTGTCTTTGGGGCCTCCTTGGGCGATCCTGGGGCCTCTTGGGCCGTCTTTGGACGCTGCGAAGGCTGAAAAGGCGCATCTGCGAAACATGTGCGTGGTTGTGCCCATTCCGGCTTTCCTCGGGGGCGTCTTGGGATTATCTTGGGGAGAATTGGGGCTCTCTTGGGGCCTCGTAGGCCTTCTTGGAGCGATTTTTGGGCTACTCGGGGCCCTTTCGCACAGGCTTGGGAGCCTCGTTGGGGCACTCTTAGTCCGTCTTGGAGCCCTCTTAGCTTAGACAAAACAATGTGGGGAGGCCCAGAAGCGACAAGAGGACTCGAGGGCGCCTGGGAGCGTCCCAAACTTCAGGCTGTGCCCCCCAAATAATCCGCAGGATTGAGGGCTCCGAGGGATCTGAGAGCACTCCACGCAGTGCCTAGCGGCACAGTGCAATCGTTTAATATGTTAAGCGTTATGGCGTTTATTGCAGCTGCAATCCTTAAAGCATTAGCTTGGCGAAGAACCCAACCATATGCATTCGTGGATACAGTCGTTGTGCTCCGCATTCGGTGGAGCCCCCTATGGGGCCACGAAGAGTATGAGGGTCATGCCAAACTGTGTGTGGCGGACGCATGCGAACGCTGGCATGTGGGCCTTCGGTTGGGCTCCCTGTGGGGCCACGACACGTGTGATGGGGTCGTGGGCGCAAAAGCAGGCTGGCGCTTGGGCCGTCGGTGGGGCTCCCTATGGGGCCATGAAGCGTTTGAGGGGTGTGCCCAAATGGGTGCGGTGGGCGCATGCGAGCGCTGGCATTTGCGCCTTCGGTGGGGCTCCCGATGGGGCCGCAAAACGTGTGAGGGTCATGCCAAAATGTGCGAACGATTGCACTTGGGCCTTCAGTGGGGCGTCCTGTGTTGCCACGAAACGTGTAAGGGGTGTGCCAAAATCTATGCGCGGTGGGCGCATGCGAGCGCTGGCATTTGGGCCTTCGGTGGGGCTCCCTATGGGGCCACGCAACGTATGACGGGTGTGCTAAAATGGGTGCGGTGGGCGCATGCGAGCGCTCGCATTTGGGCATTCGGTGGGGCTCCCGACGAGGCAAAACGTGTGAGGGTCATGCCAAAATGTGCGAACGATTGCATTTGGGCCTTCAGTGGGGCGTCCTGTGTTGCCACGAAACGTGTGAGGGGTGTGCCAAAGTCTATGCGCGGTGGGCGCATGCGAGCGCTGGCATGTGCTTTCTTCGGTGGGGCTCCCTATGGGGCCGCGAAACGTGTGAGGGGTGTGCCAAAATGGATGCGGTGGGCGCATGCGAGTGCTGGCATTTGGGCATTCGGTGGGGCTCCCTGTGGGGCCACGAAACCTGTTGGGGCCGTGCCAACATGTGCGCGGTGGGCACATGCGAGCGCTGGCACTCGGGACTTCGGTGGGACTCCCTGTGTGCCAAAACATGCGCGGTGGGCGCATGCGAAAGATTGGGTTTGGGCCTTTGGTGGGTGCCCCTGTCGGGCCACGAAACATGTGATAGGTGTGCCCAAATGTATGCGCGGTGGGCGCATGCGAACGCCGGCATTTGGGCATTCGGTGGGGCGAAACGTGTGAGGGGTGTGCCAAAATGGGTGCGGCGGGCGCATGCGAGCGCTCGCATTTGGGCCTTCGGTAGGGCTCCTTCCCCGGCCACGAAACGCGTGAGGGGTGTGCCAAAATGGGTGCGGTGGGCGCATTTTAACGCTAGCACCTGGGCCTTCGGTGGGGCTCCCTATGGGGCCATGAAGCGTGTGAGTGGTGTGCCAAAACATGCGCGGTGGGCGCATTCGAACGCTGGCATTTGAGCTTTCGGTGGGGGCCCCATATCGGGCCACGAAACGTGTCAGGGGTGTGCCAAAACATGCGCGGTGGGCGCATGCGAGCGCTGGCATTTGAGCCTTCGGTGGTGGCCCTTGATCGGGCCGCGAAGCGTCTGAGGGGTGTGCCAAAATGGGCGCGGTGGGCGTATTCGAACGCTGACATTTGAGCCTTCGGTGGGGGTCCCTGTCGGGCCGCGAAACTTGTGAGTGGTGTGCCAAAATGGGTGCGGTGGGCGCAATCGAACGCTGGCATTTGGGCCTTCGGTGGGGTTCCCTATGGGGCCACGAAGCGTGTGAGGGGTGTGCCAGAATTGGTGCGGTGGGCGCACGCGAACGCTGGCATGTGGGCCTTCGGTTGGGTTCCCTATGGGGCCACGAAACGCGTGAGGGGTGTGCCGGAATGGATGCGTTGGTCTCGTGCGAACGCTGGCATTTGGGCCTTCGGTGGAGCTGCCTGTGGGGTCACGAAGCGTGTGAGAGGTGTGCCCAAATTGGCGCGGTGGGCGCATTCGAACGTTGGCATTTGGGACTTCGGTGAGGCTCCCGATGGGGCCGCGAAACGTGTGATGGTCATGCCAAAATGGATGCGGTGGGCGCATGCGAACGATTGCATTTGGGCCTTCGGTGGGGCGCCCTGAATTGCCACGCAACGAGTGAGGGGTGTGCCGAAATGAATGCGCGATAAGCGCATGCGAGCACTGGCATGTGGGCCTTCGGTGGGGCGCCCTGTGGGGCTACGAAACATGTGAGGGGTGTGCCAGAATGGATGCGGTGGGCGCGTGTGAACGCTGGCAGTTGGGCCTTCGGTGAGGCTCCCTGTGGGGCCACGAAACGTGTGAGGGGTGTGCCAAAATGGTTGACTGGTTCGGAGAGCAGAGGAAGAGATCGGGGGAGGAAGGAGGTTGGAAGAGGGGAAGGAGGAAGGAGGAGTGAGACGCGGGGCGCTGTCTCTTTCAAAACGGGGACCCATCACCACAGGACGGCTGGGAATTATCAAGCGAGAACTCAATTTTGAAAGGATGCCGTCCTCCACCCTGGTAACTGTTGCAGTATTCGCCGGACACCTTGGGGGCCACAGGCTGCGAGGCTTAAGGTTCTGAAACCTGCGACCAGTCCTCAATTCCTCGATTCGAAAACCAGATCCAAATGTAGTTACTTCTGTTCCAAGGTGTCAGATGTCGAAGATCCTGGTTCGTTGTTACATGGTTCGAAGGTGGCCGAGAGCGGAAAGAGCGTCTTTGGGCACATTGGGGGAAGGTCCCGGGGGGTCCGAGCCTCACACCCCCCCACCCGAAAAGTGAAGGGAGTGGCGGGGGTCCAATGCCCCCCTTCCAGAGTTGAATGTCAGGGCAGTGTGAAAGACTGGTTGAGGCGGGGGCTCGATCCTCTCCCTTCTTTTCAAAGTCGGAGGGGTAAAGGGATTTGAACCAACCCCGCGCCAGCAAGCGACGACGACGAGGACCAGACCACGACAATGACGACGTGTCCCGCCCGCCCGACGACCGACGGTCTCGCCCACGACGACGATGACTGCGACGACGACGGCAATGGCGATGGCGATGGCGATGGTAACGGCGACGACGCCAGCAAACGACGACGAGGACGACGAGGACGACGACGGCCACGACAACGACGATGACGACGACGGCGACGACATGTCCCGCCCGCCTGGCCGACCCGCCCACGAAGACAACGTGTCCCGACCAACCGACCGACTCGCTGGCAGACGACGTCGTCGTTTGGCAGCGGCGAGGGGGAGGCAGGGTTTCGGGGGGACGGGTTCTCGCCGGGGAGGGGCGGGGTGTGTCCCGGTTCTGGAGAGGCGGGGGATGATGGTGGGTGGAAGTCAAGCTCCCGAGGCCACAACCCCTTGTAAATTACAATGCAGCCGCGGTCCCGAGGCTACAACCCTTAGGAAAGTACAACAAATCCGCGCCGTGCAACTCCTTGCAAATTGCTGCGAATTCGTGACCCGAGGCCGCAACCCCGCATAAATTCTGACGCGCGCTCCCGAGACAACCCGTTACGAAAAGTGCGCGCCCCAGAGGCCCTCATCCCGTTGCGATTAGCATATAGGCGCTCACTCAGCCAGCCAGCAAGCAACCCAGACCGACTGCCAACAATCTGTTTTGACATCATGCCAGCCAGCCGAGATGACAGCCAGTCAACCGACATGAAAGCAAGCCGATCAAGCATGGCCACGCAATCTAGGCCCCTGGGATGGGGTCCTTCTAGATGGGGTCGGAGGATCGCGCCGCATCGCCGATGCGGCTCGATGCGGAGCTCGATTTCTCCTCGCCGACGGCGCCGATGCATCGCCGACGTCGCCGATGCATCGGCGATATATCGCCGATGCGATTGCGATCCAGCGCGATCCTCCGACCCCATCTACGTTCCCAGACCGCATGTAGGAGGCGTCTACGCAAGCATTCTCAAGTCTCAGGGGGGCTGGTGGCAGAGGGCGAAGCCCTTCATAGTTTAAGGCGAATATGCGCAGCGCTGAGGCGAGAACACCACTGTGAAAAGGAACCTCAAGTTGTATAAATGCTGCAAGCTTTTACGACGAGTGTGCGCGGCGATACGGCGAGACTTCCCTTTAAGCACTATCCCCTTCCGTGTAACTGTCGCAAGTTCCAATCTTCAGGATCATGAACGGTGAGGAGGTCTCGGGCGAAACGCGCGGCCCGCCCGACCAACACGTCGCGGGGGGCGACAGGGAGGAGTTATCTTTTATATGAGGACGGGGATCGAACAAATCATGACGTAGCCATACGCTGTCGAAGAGGTCCGCGCGGATTTCTTGGACGCTGGCCCCCCTCCTTGGCGCGCGGAGCGCGCCAGGGGCGGCGCAGGAGGCGCCGCCAGGGTGTCCAGCGCCGATCCTAGAAATCAGCGCGGACCTCCGAGTGGGTATGTTCATGCGATGATTTGTTCCTCGATTGGAGGAGGAGGAGGAGGAGGAGGAGAAGGAGAATAAGACGGACAAGGAACGGGAGGAGGTGGAGGAGGAGGAGGAGGAGCAGGAGGAGGAGGAGGAGGAGGACGAAAAGGAGGAGGAGGAGGAGGAGAGTTTGGGAGGAGGAGGAGGAGCTTGGAGGGAGGAGGAGGAGGAGCTTGGAGGAGGAGCAGCTCGGATGATGGAGTTTGGAAGAGGAGGAGGAGGAGGAGGAGGAGGAGGAGGAGGAGGAGGAGGAGGAGGAGGAGGAGAAGCAGCTTGGTGGAGGAGGGAGGAGGAGAGAGTAGCTTGGAGGAGAGAGTAGCTTGGAGGAGGAGGAGCTTGCAGGAGGAGTGAGGAGGGAAGAGGAGCCAGGCCTTCGTGCAGCGGGAGCGGCGGGCGTCGGACGGCAGCGTGCGGCTCGTCGCCGAAGGACGCGGGCCGAGCCTCGTCGTCGTCGTCGACGACGTCGCCGTCGAGGTCGACGACGACCTCGCCGACGACGACGACGACGATGACGACGACGACCTCGTCGAGGACGATGACCACGACGACGATCACGACCGCGACGCTGACGACGACGACCACGACCACGACGATCACGACGATGACGACGACGATGCCGACGATGACGACGACGACGATGACGACGGCGACCTCGTCGATGACGAGGACCACGACCACGACGACGATCATGACCGCGACGCTGATGACGACGATGCCAACGATGACGACGACGACGATGACGACGGCGACATCGCCGAGGCCGAGGACCACGACCACGACGACGACCACGACCGCGACGCTGACGACGACGTCCGCGACCATACGGCGACGACGACGACGACCTGCACGACGCCGACGACGACGACGATGAAGACCTCGTCGAGGACGAGAACGACGATCACAACCGCGACGACGACGACGACGACGACGACGACGACGACGACGACGGCCCACGACGACCACGACCACGACCTCGAAGACGACGACGACGACGGCGGCGACGACGACGACGACCACGATGACCACGACGACGACCACAACCTCGTCGAGGTCGACGCCCACGACCTCGTCGACGACCGCGACCACGACGACGTCAACGACCACGACGCCATGAAGCCGACGACGACGACGACGACGACCTCGACGACGAACACGACGACGACGACGACCTCGACGACGACGACGACAATCTCGACAACGACGAGCCCCCCCCAGGCGGGCGTCAGCGGCGCGTTCACCCTGCTTGCACCTTTCGGGGCGCTCTCTCGGGCCACTTTCTTTGCACCCTTGCCGAGCGGGCTTGGGGGATCGGTCTGGGAGAAGAGGCGATGCACCCACCGCAGGTCGGCGGCGAAATTTAGGCCCTACCCTCGTCGATCAACGAGTCAGGCAACTGGATGGGCGGCGGGGGTAGGGTTCGGAATTCACCGAACCTGTGACGAAATCCGAACCCTATCCCCGCCTCCCATCGATTCTGGAGAATCGGTGGCTGGTGGGGCCAGGGTTCGGATGTGCCGCCACCTGGAAGGCACACGTCAGTGCACTATGCCTGGTGGACGGAGCCCTTTGCCGCGCGCCCCGCGTGTTGGGCCATCTTGTGGCCGTGCTGCGGCAGATTTGCGCTGGGTCGTCGTAGGCAATTCTCGGGCTGTCTTGATGGCATCTTTGGAGCGACCTTTGGGCATGGCTCGGACATCCTGAGCGATTGGGACGGCATTTTGGCATTTTCTTCCAGGGAGGAAAAACTACCCGGGCCGGACAATGGGCGTTTACTAAACGGCCTTGGGCGTTTTCTGAACAGCCCTGCCCTGTTCGATTCCTTATTTGGGCACGTTTACTGAACGACTTCGCGTGTCGGGGTGGTTATTACGGGGGTGTGTTTGTTAACTTCTATTTCTGTTGGACTACATCGTCGCCGTCTTGGGCAATCTCGAGGGCACTGGGGGCCGTCCTGAAGCGATATCTGGACATCTTGGAAGCAAAGCATGGGACAGACAATCAGCATTGAAACGCACAATCGCTTCTCAAGATTTGTTGCCTTCTCGGTGGCTCCTTGGAGCCCTCCTGGACCATCTCAGGGGCTTGGCCGTCTTGGGCTCTATCAGCCATCCTCTGAGCCTCCTGGGGCCGTCTTCGAGGCAGCTTGGGCTTTCCTAGCTGCGCGGTGACGTCCAATGGGAATCTTGGGGCAACCTGGAGCGGCCAGAAGTTTGACGGACACCCCCTGGGCGGCTTTTCCCCAACCACGGTTCTTGACCCCATCAGGAGCTTCGCTGAAAGCCCAGTGGAAAAGTCCGCCGCTCATTTCGGCACACCGCCCATACGCGTCGTGACCCCACAGTTCCACGACGACCCCAGTAAGAAAGTCTGCACGTGTCCCCGCCGCACATTTCGGCACACTCCTCACACGCTTCGTAGCCCCATAGGGAACTTCACCGGAGGCCTCCGAGGAGAAGTCTGCATACGTCCTCGCCGCCAAGTTCGGCGCACCCTTTACGGTTCGTTGCCCAATATGGAGTTTCACCAATGGCCACACCGGAACAGAGGGTGCATGGCATCCCCCCGCACAGTCGGCACACCCCTCATTCGGCCACTGCCGCGAGCCTCCTTGCCCAGGGCATCGAGGGATCCTGCGCCGCCATCCTCGTCATCCTCCTATTTCTGTTCCTCTTCCTCCTGGCCGCCCAAGGGGCCTCCTAACTCTTCCGTAGCCATTTTGGCTCAAGTCGACGGGTCAGCAGGGTGCGGTAGCACATGCCAGGCCCAAACAAAACACGTGTTTGGTATAGAAACGTCTGCCAAGGGGTGAGGTACGATAGATGCACGCTCGTCATGCAAGGTGGACCATCGCTGCAGGATTCGAAGACGTCATTTTGGATGTCCCCGTGGTCGAAGGAGCGCACAGGTTAATCAAGAAACCGCTGGCGTGCTTGGCGTCGCGGGCCAAGTTCTTCTCAACAAGGAGGCCTCCGTCATATTGTCCGAATAGCGGCATCGTGTTCTCATTTTCCTCTCCTGTCCTCTCCCCTTTGTGACCGACACTATCCTTGCAGCCAATTTGGCTTCGGGGCGCTCTCGCGCCATTGAACTGATTTGTTTGAGTTCGCTTGCACTCTCGTCTGAGAAAGTGTTCATCTTAGGCCTATCGGCCTCATCCGCCCCCGATGCCAGCCGACAGTGGTAGCGGAGCGTGAACGAGGACATGGGTCAGGGGGGCTCTGCTCAGCGTGGTGATGAGGGCGACGCTCGAGACGGAGAAGTTCGTGAGCAACAGAGCGCCCATGTACACGACCCGTGGGAGAAACTCTCCACGCACAAGAAGGAGGGACAGGATGGAGCCGCAGCTGGCTCTACGAGTGGAGAAGAGGCGTGGGGAGACTGGCGAGGCACCGAGTGGTCTGATTGGAGATGGTGGTCCTCCTGGAGTTGGTCTGGGTCCAACTCGTGGGGCAAGTCACCGTGGGAAGAAGCCAATCGAGACTACTCTGCGCCTCCGACATGGCACGGGTTAGAGAATTTGGAGCTGTACCTTGCAAGTCTTAAGTCCTGGGACCAGAGAGCCGCCTTCAAGGCGGAGACTCGGGCCAGGCGCATCATCGAGTCGTTCCCCATCGAGCTGCAGGCGAAGTTTAAGAGCGTCAGGCACCTGGTCGATGCGAGTGACGGTATCCTGAAGGTTATCGACCACCTCAAGCTGTGGAACGAGGAACGCCCAGGAGACAAGAAAGGGAGGCACACAACGAGGCATTGTTCGACTTCGCCATACGGAAGGGGGAGACGCTCACAGACTTTGTAGTTAGGCGAGATCAGCAGATAGCAGCAGCCGAAAGGCTGGGACTGACGCTTCCAGACCAGGTCAAGGCCAGGTACTACGAGGAAGGAGCGAATCTGACACTTCAGCTGAGGCTGAACCTGAGGACGCTGATGGCCGGCAGGAAGACAATAGACGCAGTTCGAGCTGCCTTGCCCGAGCTAGACATCACGGAGAAGCAGACGCTGCCCCGGGCCCCTGCGGCCGCGCCGGCAAAGACCTTCGCAGTCACGGCGCCAGAGGAAGCCGATGAGTGCGACTGCGGGGTGTGCGACGACAGCGATTGCTTCGGCCTCTTCGGGATGGAGTTCGATGAGCAGGAGCTGACTACCATCCTCGTCTCCCTGGACTCCCAGGACGAGGAGCACATCTTGGGCGTTTTCGCAGAGGTGACGCCCCCGCAGCGTCGCAGGACGTGGGCAGAGGCCAGGCAGCTCAACACCAACAGTCGTGTGGACAGGGATTTCTTCGATCGACGCAAGAACACGAAGAAGGTCACCAGGGACGATTTCAAGAAGAGGTCACGCTGTTCGAATTGTTGGGAAAAAGGGACACTGGCGTGAGGACTGCAGGAAGCCGTGCCGAAGTAAAGCAGATCGCCTGAAGTCTGAGTCATCTCGACCGGCTGCAGCCGGAAAGGGGCAGGACAAGAAACCGGTGCAGTCTTCGTTCTATTTCAACCTGGAGCACGGGTCGAGCGCTCACTCCGGGACGAGCTGGACTGCGATCTTCCATGAGGCGGGCCAGGTGGGGCCGCTCATGGACACCGCGGGCACGACGATCGCGGGCCACGTGGGCCAGCGGTCGCCATCTCCGGGCCAGGTGGACTTAGAGATGCTCGCGGCGGCTACGTTGCAGGACATGGACGAGCACTGGTGGACACGGCGGCTGGACAGGCGTTGATAGGCACCCCGGATATCGATCGGCTCAGATCGGCGCTTAAGAAGAAAGGATATGAGGTGCACATCTTCGACACCGACAAGGCTCCGGCCGCCAGTGGAGTTGGCGGGAAGGTCAAGCCGATCGGAGTAGCTGCAGTCCCTGTCTCTCTTCAAGCATGTGGCGTGGTCGAATTTCTGATTATGCCTCGCCCGTGCCCCCCATTGCTGCCAGCGAAGTTTCTAGATTTCCTCATGTCCGTGATCGACCTTCGCCGCCATGACGATCGGGGAGGAAGGCAATCGCCAGTATCCCAAGTTGCTGAAGCTGCCGTCGGGTCACCGAGCCGTCTCGCTCATAGGCCGCGAGTCCACGGATTTCTCGATTCACCTGGATCTGGCGGACAAGTTCCCTCCCTTCGTTGTGGAGGCTGGTGGCCCTCACTCGGATTTCTCGATTCACCCGGATCTGGCGGACAAGTTCCCTCCCTTCGTTGTGGAGGCTGGTGGCACTCACTCGTGGCTCGAGGTACCGTCGGAGTTGCAGGATTGCTGGGTCCAGCTGGAGAGCGTAGTTCGGCGCGTGCGCGTGAATCCGAGGCAGGGCGCTTTTTCTTTTGCCGAGGCGGGCTCACCTCCAGCCTCGATTTCGCACTCAGGGCCGGGTCGCGTCATCTGCCAGATGCCGGGGGGCGTCTCGTCCGGCCGCCGCATCTTCGAGGGCTCCTGGACCGACGG